GAGAAAGGAACCAGAGTGTTGGACGGTTACCTGTGGCGTTGCCAGGTGGCCTCGGTCACGTGGGTTCGTGGGGCTTCCCCTGACCTGGATTCTATCTCTCCGTCACCGGCAGAATCGCTGATTAATGCCTACAGTTCAAAATAGTCATTTTGACTGACCGGAGTCTATGGTGGGTATGAACTATGTGAATAGGCGGGTTCGAAGAACCCTCGCCTAAGTTCGTGTGATCAACATAACAAAATTATTTCTTGATTTGTCGGTAGTAAAAGCTGACTTGATGATTTGTTTTTATTAATAAATAAAGGTATAACACTTAGATCTTTCAGGCAATAACAATATATATTGTCTCAATTGTTTAATTCACTTAAAGCAAATATAGGTGTTATATTTGTGCTTTTTGGACACATAAGTACACTCTGTCAATAGGTGTAGAAACATTTCACTGGTCAAGCGATGACATTACCATGACATTTAATAAAACGATATCAAAACAACTTTTATGTTGGTCTTTCGTGAACTTCGTCATGATAAAGCAATAGTACCCTGTTCTTTAGTTCTGGAAATGACTGAGTGTATAAAGTCTTATGAGAAACAGTAACATAATCATAATAGTACATATAGTGTATAAACACGCAATCAACATGCGATAAACGAACAGTTCAAGAAATCGCGCAGCCATTAACCGCATTATGTTATCATCAGTAGAGAATTACCTTACTGACAACTGCTTTCATACTAACTCACTAAGTGAAGGAATAACATTTGGGAGGGTGTTAATTTCTCAGAAAAGAAATGACAGAAATAAACTTGTTTTGATAAAAACTCACAGACGCATTCAATAGGGGAAAAAACAAATTCGACTGAAACATAAATCTTGAAAGAAAATAATATAGTTTAAAACCAAGGGAAGTGAAGCAGAGAACCTTCCCTTGTGGCTAACCTCCACATAAATATTTAAGGATGCTATTAAATCAACATTGGGTTGACTATGCCATAAACGAGGTTTATATGGTTATACTGTCTACAACGTCGTTTTTCTCTTTCAGTATCCAGATGAAGCTGTGCCCAACGGCGCATACGAGGGGTATAGAGATTCAGTGAGAGTCACCATGGAGACGTATGTAACAACCTCTACTACAACCGGGGGTGTGTTAGTATCGACGCTAAACACCGGAGATTCGGAGCTGTCGGAGCCGATACAGACCAAAGTCATTAGCATCGATGAAGTGTTTGATGTCAAGTTTTGGACTTTATTCGATGACTATGTTCTTCGTGGTGTATGTGCATTGGCAAACACCACTGAACTGGAGTCAAGACAGACGAACGTGTTAGCAGCTCTGAAGAATTATGCAGATTTCAAGAACGCCGCGACACCAGAAAGTATGTAGCACGTGAAATTCTAATATCGCAGTGATAGAAAACGATACCGGCGTTTTCCCCGCGCACTGTTCATGCAGACTGATGGCGTTTATCGTGCAAATTTAGTGAGGAATATCAGTTAGCGACATTTCACACTAAACGTCGCTACTCAGACTCTCTAGTATTATACACGGTCATGTGATAAATATGTAAATAAATATTGTATATAACAATTATAATAGTATAATTCGAGACGCACAGCGGAGATCTATGCGACGGCGTACTGTCTGAGTGCATACTTTTTGGTATCCTCGTAATAACCTTATTATTATACATCTTTTCCTCCCAAGGATACATCATGGGAATGCCGGCCAAACTATGGGGACTGCCATGTTTATTTTTATCATTAGAGGACGCTCACGCGCGTAATCACTCCAAATTTGGAATTCGCATTTCCTAATACGGTAGATGAAAATACTCAGTGCAATAACGCAAAATTACGGCACGCTGTAACTTTTGGCGTTACGGTGACAGATGTATAATAATAGTATATAAGCTGAGGTATCAGATACAGGATTATGCGTCTGAACTTCGAGAGCTAAAGACATATGTTCGGATACAGTGGTGGTGGTGGTTGCTTCAAAATATATAGCATGCAATGAATTGAGATGATTTTTATCTTCCAGCTACAATTGTTGTCACGCCTGTCACGTGGCCTGTTGGAAAGTACGGATTTCCAGAAACCGATTATTCTTTCGATGGATGTCCAATATCTCCCGACTTTGTATACGCAACGGGGTGGATTAATCAGGACACTGCCGACACAAGCGGAAATAATTCTCATTCTGATCCGTTTAATTTGAATCAACCCGAGAGTGTTATAGGAAGTAATGTCGAGTGCAATTACTGCATGAAGTTGGACGAAGAACCAAACAGAGAAGAATGGAAATGGCTGAAGGGAGAATATTGTATGTATCGTAAGAACATATGTCCACCAGGTATTTTATTTAGTTTTCATTCACTCGTATACGTTCTGTATTTCAGATCGAGGTTGTTCTGACACGATATATACTTAAATGCGACGATTACAATCCGCTTAATACAACCGTAGTGGTTTTCATATACGTATCGCATTGTAGTTACAGTTTAAAAATTATCAATTTTGTTAATTGGTTTATTCCGTGTTTTTTTTTCTGATTCATGCCATACAGGATTCCTCTCTGGATATGTGTTGTGGGACGATGAAGACCGTAGCAATCAAAATGCATTTACCGGCGAGTTACCAGACGGCGTCTATAATGAAGACACTCTAACATATTTCTGCTGTCGGGAAGATGCACCGACTCCAGATCACGTGCTTTACCTACCAACCGACCGCCCATTTGTATTATTCAAGAGAACGACAAATTGTCCCAACGTATTCGGTATGAGCGTGAGTCACCAATGGTTCAACTGGGGACAGGAACAAACTGTTGGCGGTGGGAAGTCACACCTCAGTGGGGCACATCCGTACAACGACGGGGTTGGCGAAGATATTCGCTTACATTACTGTTATTATTTTTAACATGTAACATGTTGTCATTGTAACTGGAGTAACCCAAAATAAATAGCGATTAGGGTATGGAGTTGAAAATTAAAAAAGTCTCTCGTTTGATTATATGTGAACTTCTCTTACAAGAAATGTGCGCGACATTTTTAGCAATGTGACTCCAGTTTCTTCATCATGTCACTTTAATGCAGAATAAATTGTGAATATAAATCATATTACACGCATTCTGTCATTTACATATCCGTACTGACACTACTAGATAAGTCTAACGCCACAAAGATTACCATTCATTGTCAGTGATTGTTAGAAGTAAAGCAATGTAACATCAAACCTCGTATTAACATTTTAGTTACAAAATATTGCAAATATAACTGTTTCATAAAGGTCACGTTTCAAAATCGCTGACCTTAGACAGTGGAAAATTAGCCACACTTTGAGGAAACATTGCAGATTTGTTTAACGACACAGGGATTTTGCTTTTCTCACCTTTCCAGCTGCATCTCCTCTTAAGACATATTTCTCAATTGCTGAATACCTTATAATCACTGCAATCAATTAACTGATTGCATATATCATCATTAGTGGCGTTCACGTTAAAGATCACGTTAGAGAAACGTATATGTGAACGGTCAATGTCGTGATTTGCTACCTGAACGAGTCGAAATCACGCCCTCGGAGTTAAATTTAAGAGAACATACTGATTCATACTAGTATGATATGACAATGGAGGGAAGTGCAGCTACATATGGTCGGATACTTTATTAATGAATAAAATGAATGCAGAACGTTGTCGGCGACGCATAAGTATGTCTGCTGCAACCGTTTTTTTTTAAATACTACATAGAAGTGAAACAAATAATTGTGTTTTTTTTAATCTTGTTTGCCGTTCATGTGCACGATGACTCGTAATAAATACCATAACAGGTGGTTATATTTTCGATATAGCAATTATTGTTATCATGATATACGTATTGTTTTTTATGTTTGGGTCAGATCGAAGAATGATGGCGTGATTTCGGCACGAGCCGGGTCGACCCCAAGCGGGTCCCGAGTAACGTGGACTAAACTGTTGTAATCCCTCTGTCAGTTGGCCTACAAGTGATAAATTCAATTAATCAACCTATTAATTAATACTTACTATATGGGGCAGCCACCTTGAATACGGCTTTAAACTAAATAAAGACACCAGTTGAGAAACGTCTTTTCTTCAGATTCAAACAAATCGAAGGGAGGGGTTACTTTCACAGGTAAAGATTTCGTTTAGACCGCTAACAAAATTCGGCCGAATTCGGCATTTTTGTTTGGAAAAATCCCTTGCATACAAACACCTTATTACACAAAGAACATTTCCCGGGGTATTTGAAGCCGAAGTCGTCATCTAACTCTAAGGCTGTTGCTGATTGGCTCCTAGCATAAGAAAACACTGCTCCACTGACAGGAATAGAGAATACCATAATAAAACATAGCTCACTCAACTGTGTTCAGGAGCTGACCGAGTAAATGATTTCAACATCCATGACAAGTCCCCCTCACAGTCAAATATTTATTTAAACTGAGTTCGCATTTGTATTATAATACACTAACACGCAATAAACGATTTTAAATGGAGTGTAAACAGACCTGGAATTCATAAGAATATGACCAAAAACATTACGCATTACGTTTTCCTTATGACAACCAAGGAACCAATCTACCGACTAATTGACCACAGACACAGCAGCAAGGAATAAAAACGAGGACACGTTGCGTGCGCCACTTAGTCTAAGAGCGCCAAATAAATACGGTCAAACTAACTAGATAATTATCTTGGCTGCATGTGTATATGTAATCATTACCCTCTTCGATGACAAAATCGTCCGACCAAAACACAGACAACTGACCGGTGAACTGCATACATCACCAAACAGTGCAAGTTGACAATCTCAAGTTCACCAAACCAAAAGTTATCATTCCTGGTGACGTAGAATTAACCGTGACAACAATACTAATATCATTGTATCACGAATCCAACTATTACTTGAAAGCATTGATAAATCACTAAAGTACGACTGACTACTAATGGAAAACTTGATTGACTACAATTGACTCAGTGATGTATCGTGAATGGTTTCATAAATTAAGCATTCAACACGGTGAATTATCGGATATCAAATCTTAAACAATCAATCACCAGAGGGCGATATTCGTTGTTCATCACCACTATATTATCACAAGTCATGTAAAAGTTTGGCAAACAACGCTCACAAAGAATAACATTGTCTATCACGGTGTGTTCATGAACTCGAATTGTCAGGAGTTCGTTGTTTCGCTAACATAGTAAAATTTAATTTAGTGTCAATGCGACCCTAGTGTGCATACCAGTTTAAATAAAAAATAAAATCTATGAAATTAAACTAGAGCATTGAACATTGTGTGCCAAGGCACATAATATCAAACTATGTTACCTGTAAGAATTTAAATATTCACATTTTGATTTTTTCTATATATACTTGTTAATAAATAATTCAGATTTGATTTTTACATTAAAATACCTTTCATTTGATACATCACATGATGTTTTCAGTGTTGGTAGATTGAATAATTGACTATCTAATTAGCTCAAATTCTCTTGTTTCTCAATATCTGTTTCTATTTTCTTTTAAATACGTGTGGTTTTGGATTTTCCGCCATGCCAGCCTCTAATCTGTATGACTTAGTTCTCTTGCAATTGGTGTTCAAAGTAATGAATTTATGAATAAAACACCACTGGTTTTTATTTATGTCAGTATTACTTTTGTTTTGTCCAATTCTCTTTTTTTCTGACTTTGCTCATAATCTAAAATCTTAATGGAAATCCTTGTTTACAGTATTTGCTTGGCAATATCTTGAATATTTAAAATTTCAATTCAATGGAAATAAACCGAGCGTTGACATTAGTATAACATAACTCTACGATAAAGATTTTTCCTTTTCGAAATTCAAAATTCAGAAAAAAATGCACACATATGATATTTTTACACAAGATAATTCTGTTTTGATACATTGTTTATATTAGTGTATAAATGACGACAGACTACACAGCCAATGGAGGGCGTGATTCACAACAAAGATGAATATAAAACTCTATGTATCACTCCTACGCATGCGCAGTTTATGATAATACTCTCCAAAGCGATCGTTCATCTGTTTCAACTGGTGTAAAATTTGGTGAATACAAAATGTTACATCTATCATTTGACTTGTAAGATCCCCGAACAAGAACTGGACAGTATGCATGTATCATGCGCATGCGCATGTGGATTAATTGGCTTTAAATGTCACCGTGAGAAAAAAACTCTTTCCAATACTCAATACATGTATATATACAGATATTGTCATGAAATTTTGATATTCATAAAAAAACAGATTAATTTGTCTGTTTTGACAAATGTTGATACACGTTAGAGCACGTAAGTTCATTTAATGTTGCAAATTTTCTGAGAGTAAAGTGGCATGGTGTTGTATGACTAATATATACCTAACTAATATGAATTTGTGGGAGAGCCAAGTTTTGAAGCGTTGGGCAAGAGTTTGAGTATTCGACAAAGATGGAACGTCGTTGTAAATTGTTGGCAATGAAACTCGTAAAGGAATACAATAATAATCGTATTTTGCGAGTTTCACAAATTT